GAGAAATTAAAAAGAAATCCTGAAAGTCGTGAGAAGAAGGTTGTTTCCACTCATGAAATGCCTCCAGTCTCCAGGTATTTCTTAAACTGTTTGATAATTGCTAAGAACAGATTAGCATTCAACAGTTTAAATGAATCAATAGCTGGGCTTTGTCATTTTGTTACCACCTTTTTGTGTCTAAAGTAAATGCGTTGAATGTATCAAGGAGGAAGATCTCCCAAAACACACTGGCTCTGGACTAGGCATTGAGCACATGAACATGATTTTAAAGTATTTTTAAACCAGCTTTCAGGCAATATTCCTATCTTAAGATGCCTAGTGGAAGGACTAAGTAGGTTGAATGATTTATTTAATGAATTTTTACTTTCATCCTCATACTTAGCAGATTTCTTGCATTAATTGCTTGAAGGTTTGTTTAGTAATTTTGCTTGCTCTTTTTGGTGGCATCTTTTAAATATTGATACTGTAAAAGACCATAAAACTTAAAAAAGTTGATTCACAATGAAAAGTACTTTGGGTACTCTGGGCTTGTCCTTCCCCCGAGGAAGCTGGTACGCCTCCTCTCAGAAGAGTGCTAACTAACATTTCTTTCTTTGTTTATCAAAGTTTGTGTGACCTTGAGCGTCTCAATGGCAAACCTGCACTGGTCCACTCATCCCTTCATTTTAGACTGAAGCAGTTCATGAAGACTCTACTCAAAGCTGTTCTTTACAGCCCCCATTGCTGTAACGCCTGCTGTCTGTTGCTGTTTTCCCAGCTCTTTGCTGGAGGCATCCCTTCCTGTCTTATGCCGTAATGTCTGGACCTTCCCAGTATTAGAAAGGGAATGAAGTGTTACCAGTGTGCGGGTCAGGAGGTACCCTTAGGGTTTCTTACTTTCTTCGCCTCGCATCCCTTCCTGCCTGGAGGCCAGGTGGTGGCTGTGGATGCTGTCCCTGGAGAGCTTACTCATGGGTGACATTGCAGGCACACCGGCTCAAGAATAACTTGTGCCCTGGTGTTTTTGAAGCGGATTACCTTAATGCTTTGGATCAACTCCAAAACTACCTCAGTTGTCACCAGCATCTCTTCCCACTTCAAAGAGTAAGTTGTTCTATAAATAGCAGTGCTAATTAGACTCCGTTTGTGTCCCAGTTCCCTCAACTCCTGTTGTCCCCTGTGACACGACCGTGGAGCGAGAAGCAGCGGGTGCTGACCGAGCTGCCAGCTGGGCTTGGGCAGGGCACACAGCTCTGCCGGCACGGGGCTCATAAACGTGGGTCTCCTTTCTACCCAACCTTTCACAAAATTTGTAGGACCTTAATCGTATTTGATACTTTACCTCTTCCCTGTTCCAATGTTGCTGAAGTTAATCAACATATTCTGAAGTCTGCGAGGTGGACAGGATAGGGTGCCTCAGCCAGTGCCCTCACTTAAGCTTTGTTTGCCTTATTAAAAGATATCTTTTTCTCCCAGGTGCCCTCAGAATTGCTTGCTGGCTGCTGGAGCCCTCTCTCTCTGGCTTCTTCAGCCTTTCTGGGCCAGGCCAATCCGCTCAGTGGGGAACAGCCTCCTCTTTGTGACTCGGGGCAGGCAGCTTCCCGCTGCTGCCAGACCTCTGTTCTCCTCCCAGCAGGACTCCCCAGCACAGAGCAAACCATAAACCATAGCGAGCCATCAAGCTGGGAGTGGACAAAGTCACGTATTCTCAAGGACAAGAGTGTGTTCTTTCCTGCCTGTGATGAACCACATACAATATTCCTTCTCCCCTCCCCGTGTTCGTCTCGTCCTGGTTGCTGGCTGTTCTCAGGGACAGGATGTCTTCCTTCATCTATTGTTATTCTTATTTAAAAACTTGAGTTTTCTGTTGGGAAACGTGTCAGAACCCTCTTGTTGGGTGAGAGGAAGGGATTGTGGAGTGGGATACTTCAAAAGGAAAGAAAATGTATGTGCTTGGAGGGCAGGATGGGAGGGGGTGATGGTCAGGAGGTGAGATGGAGGGGCCTTGGGAGGTGGAAGACTGGTAGGGTTTACCATAACAGAGGCAAGTAGTTTGTAATAGCAGGGGCACTGAAGAAGAAGAATCATTAAAAGCAGAGAATAAAGTAAAGAAGCAGTATAGCAGAGAAGGAGAGACTGTAGTTAGGAAATTTGAGAACAAATATGTGGGAGAAGCAGAAGGGCAATCAATTACAAACGAAACATTCAGTGAAGTGGACAATTTAGGAACAGCTCAGCTAGGCAAGATAACCCAAGGAAGTAACAATTAATTAAAACAACATGGGTTAAATTATAATCTCAGTTAAGAAGATCAAGTATCCGATGGAAGCAGATCACTTGAGTAAATCGAGGGTCCAGTTTCAATGGTCTTTGTGAGGTATAAGGCTATGAAACTGTAATAGGAGAGGGCATTTTCATGCCACGAGATAGGAGGAATGGGAATCATTTTGCTCTAGAGATGACTGTTAAAGTGGTGAGGTTTGGAAGTAGAGTGATGAAATATGTGGAGTACAGCCCACTCACTGCAGCTATCTCTGGTACCTGTCCTACTTAAGAGCTGTGGTAGGGAAAATGTCCATATGGTTAGCAATAAGACAGGAAAACAACATTTGTTGCTCTGTTTTTTTCATTATGTGATTGCATGTTGCTGACTAGACAATCCACAGACCTGGCATCTAGTGAACTTTGTTTGTTGAGGTTTAGACTGTCCTCTGGGACATCAGCAGCTCGTGCTTATGGATCATGAATTACAATGGGCAATTCTTTGACTTCTCGTATCTAAAACGGGGGTTGGTTACGACGGTTTTGGGGTGAGACTTTAAAACAAGGGCACTCATTATTCTCTCTGGATACCACCCATAGCATTTCTGCCGAGTTGACTTCTCACTTGGTGTTCTAGCAGGGTCGTACACATGGTTGGCATTAAATTGGTCCACGGATAATGTGTATTTAGAAACAGTGACTCAAAACTGCGTTGTGCTGAGGATATTCAGCTACTTCAGAATTCCTTGGCCACGTGCACTTGGCTAGTTTTGGTTCCAAACTGTGGAATGGCACTGGGAAGGCGAGGGATTTGTGGGGGCAGACATGGAGCTTCTATGCTTCTGGTTGTCAAATGTCAGCACCTTCTTCAGATTGATCTCACCGAGCAGGAGGCAGAGTGGAAAGCGGTGACATTTTGTGTCTCGCGTGTTCTCTCTCTCTCTCTCTCTCTCTCTCCCCCCTCCCCTCTCTCTGCAACCACTGTGTCATCTAGCTTCTGCCCCAAATATACCTGCTTTCCAGTGGTTGTGAAAATACACCCTTTGGGCATCTGCAGGGCAGATTTGTGAGAAGTGTGCAGTATAAATCAATTGATAACGAACTTCTATTACAGTGCATAAGAACACAGAAATGCCTTTAGTAGGACAGATTACTAGATCGGGTCCATCTAGTTTAGTTTCCTGTCTCTGTCAAGGGCTGGCACCAAGCGTTGCAGAGAAAGTCATGCAATAGATAGGGATACGTAGTATAATCTCTCAAATCACTGTCTCAGATTCTTATAGTTATGAGGTTTACCCTTCAGTAACTTAGTTTAATACCTCATTCAAAATCACTGTTGTTAATTATAACAACCTTTCATATTCTTGGTGCATACATAAACAATCAGTCCCTTCTTAACCTTCATTATGCTTAATTTAGGAAATGCAGGTGTTCTCGGAATGGTTAGTTCTTAAATATATATGTCTCATTCTTAGATTGCCGCTTAATTATTGTAAAAAATAGATTTCTTCTTTGGCTGGTATACTCTTTTTGTACTAATTTTCTTATTTATCTGGTTTATTTTTAGATTGTAACATTGTTCCAGAAAACTAAGTGTCATCATGCTGTTGAAAACTAAATAGCTCATCTTCAGCCCTATAGTAAACAGTTTAATTACTGTGGAAACTGAATTATTGCTCTTTAAAATTGTTCAGTTATTACTTCTGAAATATGATTCTTCTTTCTAAATAATTAACTGCTTGAATTTCTTGGGATGAGTAGCATAGACCAACTGAAGGACATTCCCATGATTAAATACAGCTCTCTAACTTGTCATGCATTTTTGAGCTGCAAGGTGAATTTTCAAGACGAGTTTGAGACCTAAAAAGCTGGCAATTTGACTGCCCAGTTGCTGGATGCTCTCAAACGCTGTGTGAATTTTCACCAGCTAGTTTCAGGCCTGGGAGCTCTGAATGTGATGAAAGGCTCGGTCAAAAGTGTCCTAGAAAGCAAATGTTAGGTTAACTTCTGTGCAGTACACATCCTGTGGGTGTGAATGTGAAAGTCCTCTCGCGCTGGTCACGGAGACTAACATTTATCTGCCTGACAGGATACATTTCTCATATTCACTCAGTAGCAGGAAGAAAAAAACACAAACTCCTGTATTGGAGTCTATTGTTGGTTCATCATGAAATCAGTCCAGTGCTGCCCTGGCAAGCTGGGGAGGAAGGCATGAGAAAGAGAGAGCATCCTGGGTGACTGTCTCCTTGGCCAGGGACTGCCTCCGCTCAGTGTCGCTGCTGTGAGACCCTTGTTTTTGACATGTAGTTTCCACAGTACTCATAAATGAATGTGAGCTACTTCCAGTCCAAACTGATGAGTTCAACATTGATCAATAAATTATAGAATCTGCTACTCTCCTTCCTCACTCCCCTCAGGATCTTGAATGCCACTGTTTCATAGGCCAAGGTTTCTATTGATTAACACCTCCCTAAACAGTGCTTCCTTGTTAGTAAATAGTAGATCCAGCTGTAAATTAGCCCATCAATATCTGTATCAAAAATTATCCTTGACACACTCCAGAAATCTCCCACGTTGCTCGCATCACTCTTCGTATAGATGTCAGGGAGCTGTAAGTCTCCTAGTGGACCCGGAGTTTGTGATCCATCGTTGTTTAAAGGAGGTTTCTGTTTCCAGCACTGTGCCTCACTCTTCTGGAACTGACAAAGTGGACACCCGGGTAAAAGTAAACTCAGGTTGCTGATCTGTATGTAGGAGAGATGGGGAGTTGTTCAAGACCACCTGCAGCTGTAGATGAGTATGAGAGGCAGAAGGTGGATCGGAAAGAAGATGACGGTTCCTCTCTGGGGTAGGATAGTGGTACTTGAGAGTGCTAGTGGTTAAATGATGTCCCTGCTTAAAAGACGTCTCTGCTGTCTTGAAATAGTTTGTTCCCCATGGTGATTACCTAGCATGAGATGAAGGTCGAAGGTCTGAGCAGTTGTATTACACTTCAGCTTGCTGTCTGTTCGCTATAGAGAGGGTCCCTGGTTGTTGGAGCTCTGGCTGTGCAGAGTTTGCTTAATTCTTTAGGTAGGGCCCCTCTCCCCCTTTCCTGTTCAATGGGATGGCTTGGACACTAGCCTGAGAGACTTTGCATGGCTGTGAGTTGTATGTCTTGTTTGTAACTGCTGCTTCATAAACGCCCCTTTCAGCTCTTTTCAGAACCTAGTTGCAGTATTTTTTATTATTCCGATTTGTTTGGATTACAGGCAGTCTGTGAAAACTAGAGCGCAGCAGCTGATTAAATGTAGTATTTCAACAGTCCTTCAAGCAAAAATAGTTTCCTGTGATATGTGTGGCTGTATATGTCAAACGCTTCCAGTTTCGCTTTTATTTAGCGTTTCATAATGTTGCACTGTATATAATTCTTGCAGGCATTACAAGGTAGCATGTTTGGCATTGCTGTAGCACGCCAGACAGCATCTGAACAGCAACAGTTCACCTATTTACTACCTGAACTCTAATGAATCCTGTAGCAGGGCTTTTGGGAATAAAGAAGTCTAAGAAGGATGGAAAACTCTCAACCAGTGGAGCAGAAAAAGGAGGGAAAGTAACACCCCGGACTTGGATTCTGACAGGAACATTTCCCGTAGCTGTAGGGAAGCTGTTTTGCAGCACTGGAACACTAGGGTTTCCCAAAACCGCCCCTGCTCGGCGCGTGCGCCTGTGCAGAGGAGGTGCGATTGTATAGCTGGGGGCAGGTCCAGCAGATGGCAGAGGCAGGAGAGGGAGATGGAAAATAAACATCTTGGCAAAGTTAGGTAGGAGTCATAGCGTGTAGTAATCTCTGCTGTTTTGTGTTTGACAGGCTTTTAGGAATTCTTCTCTCACATTTAGTGTTAACTTGTTAAAGGCCACTAGATTAGGCAGAGGGGTAAAGTTGGATACGTTGGGTTTTTTTGGCCAGGATTTCAGGCCTAAAAGAGCTTAGTGCATAAATCATGTTTATCCCCAGGGGAGCTGTTTGATTGCTCGGGGCGATGGGGTTTGTGCATTCCTGACTTATTCCCAGCAGCACAGAGCATAGCGCAGCAAACAGGTTAGGATAGATGTGAACATGGTTCCTGTCTCCTCTTCACCTCTTCTTTTTCACCGCCAAGCAACTGCCTGGTTTCTACTTCTGCTGCTTCTTCTCTGCCTGTTCAGGCAACCTCCCCACCCCCAAACCTTCCAAACCAAATGCAAACCACTAAACATTGTGGTGTTTTGTGAAACTCTGTGTTTGCAGTGAGTGTTGTCACATATCAGTTGTTTAATGGTAATGGCAAAACGGCATGCAATGAGTTGGAAGCTGGACTTGTAAATATGGGATAACCTCGATGGCCGAAGCTGTTTGGATTCTGCTTAAGGACTGTTTCAGAGGCCCGACAAGATGTAGTGATGTGCCTGTGAAATTCTGGGAGCTTTGGAAACGTGAGTTTCGGAAACTGCTTTCAGTACCATGTGAACATTTTTGTCCTGAAAAGCCCAGTGTGTGTTCCCTGATTGCACTGGCAAATTCTTTCTAGCTGGTTGGGGGAAGCGTTCAGGGGAATCCTGCCAGCTCCCCGTACGGTCTGGAGTAGCTCAGATGATGTCTGGATGTCCTTTGAAAGCAGCGGTTGACTAATAGATAAACACAGAGTACACGATTAGAGGAAAAACAGAGTGCTTAAGTCCCAGCTACTTAAGTCTGACCCAGGAAATTCCAGATGTTTTATACACCCTGGAATCAAAGTGTGTAGTTGTGGTGGTGAACAGTGAATTGGTGCTGTGACTGTAGCCAAAGGGACTTGGCTCAGGGTAGGTTGCCAGTGAAGGAGTGGCGTCACTCAGAAATGAGATGATGTGGGTGGAAAGTGGGAAAACATCTACTGGATTCTTCCATACCTCCTGTTTGATACTAGCCAGGTTACTTTGCAGTAGCTCACATTGGTGAGAGTGGAGGCCTGAGCACATTTTATGTAATTGCAAGAGACATTTGATGTAGAGCTGTCGGTAAGCTGGCAGCACTGTTGACAGCAAATGGTAAAAGTTTACTTCTGCATCGGCATTTTATCCTTTCTAATGAGGTGCTAAGAGGGAGTAAGGTATACAGCAGTTTTTGTTACTGAGATATGTTCAGAAAGGAAAAAAAAAAAAGTAGTAACTTTCCTGTGATTGTGTTCCTATTGTCTAGGCCAGGGGATGAGCAACAGATTTTAATGATGTAGAGTCACCTACAGATATAGCAGATTGAGGTTCATCACACTTACTTTAACTATCTAAAAGTTAAATTTCTCTGTTAGTGCTCCTACTATAGTTTCCTCCTGCTATAAGTAATGAACAGGCAGAGGTACTTGCAGCTACTGACAGCTCTCTTCTGCCTTAGATGCCTGTGTCGGAGTAGGGTAACTGTCCTTCTGTTGGCTGTGGAAAGTCTAGATGAGCAGCATAAAATAGATGCCTAACTGTGCAGCAGCTGGGCTTTGATGGCGTGAGCATCTTAGGAAGATCACTGAGACCTGAAGCACTCCAGTAGACTGTTACATGAGTGCAAAATGGGGCTTCAACCACTAAGTGCTCCTGCATTGCAAATCAATTAATACACACATAGCCATCACTCAACCACCGAGAATGGAAGTAGGATAGTTGCAAAAAGAAATCCTGTGGTCCAGCAACAGGCTTAGAGTTTGCTTCTGCTTTTGCTTTATCATACCAGAGTCCCAGTTCTGCAGTATACCCTGATGATCATAAATTATTTTTTTTTGCTGGGCCTACAGGAGAGGAAGCTTTGAAGACTGAGAGGGTACGTTACCTCTTGTCCCTGGGACAGGTGTTTGGAGATGACTAGTGAAAGCATCTCAGCTGACCTTCCCTGTAAGAACAGACTCATTTCAACTCAGAGAACAGACTCATTTCAACTCAGAGCTGGTGTGATCCATTCTGATTTCAGTAAGTCTGTAAAACAGGCAACAGCCAGAATTCAAATGTGGTGGAGTTAAAGGTGATTGCAAGATGATTGCCATTTAACTTTGTTCTGTGGCTTCACCAGGGGATAAGAGACTTAAAAAGACTTGGAATTGGAGCTTCTGGTGAAAAGATGTTCCAAATTGGATGTGCCTTTCCTTTATTTTAATCCACTTACTGCATTTAGCGAAGTATTTGCATCAATGAAACTGATTTTATAGCACCTAGTTCTCAGGCAAGATTTAAAACACATTAGTAAAACCGCTTCAAAAATGAAGCTTGTAACCACAAACAGCAGAAATGCAAGTTGAAGGTATGTTTCAAGTAAATGGCTCTGTTTCAATCTGTGATAATTTTACCATTCATTTTCATCTGTTAGAAGCCATCTGTCAGCATGCAGAGGGATCGCTGAACCCAGTTCAGAAATATCTCTGGAAACTTGGCCAACTGATCATCGGCTGTTTTCAAAAGTGATGTTGATGGTTGCAGCAACTCAGGCTGTGAGTGAAGTCCAGTGTCAGTGCTTGACAGTGCATTAAATCATGGCTTTCATCCAAAATTGGACTATTACAGCTTAACTGGTGTATAATTCTGGGTATACAGGGGCAACAAAGGACACACAGTTTTTTCAATGTCCTTTTCAAGAAAGCTAAAACAAAGCATTATTTGGCATTTATTGGATTTTTTTTTTTTCCCCTTGCAGCCAGTAGGAAATGTGATATATGTGACTGGAATCTCCATCATAATCCACCCCCTTTATGAAATTTGTCTCACTGGCTAATTTCGTCCAAATTAGATGGGACAATAGAAGTCCTAAAGGTAGTCAGTTCCTACAAGTTTCATGAAAAACAGCGGCCGGATAGAAGAGAGCGATCAAACCAAGGTTTCCTATTTTGTTTGGCCGATCAGCTCGCCCTGCGAGCTAGCAGGGCATCACGTGGATGCGTCCCAACCGGGCAAAACTCACTCTGTCTCCTCAACAACAAATAGTTACGAGATGTGCGAGACAGCTTCTGAGAAGTGAGAAGAACAAGTTTCTTTTCCTTCTGTTGTAGATCTATTCATATGTCTTTGGTGGGTTAAAACTTCCCCCCCAGATGTGCAGCTTCTTATGCCTTTGAAAATATATTGCTCTTTCATGCCTGTTCATGTGATATTTTTACATATTCTTGTCTCTATCATATGTATAGGCAATGGCTGCCTAGTTACCTACAGGTTTTGTGTCAAAAAGCACTCAGACTGACCAGTGGAGGATTATTCCTCTCCTCTTCATTTCTGTGCTCTCAGTTTTTAGGTATTTCAAGATGCTTACATCTGTGCAATGGAGGAAAAATATATTTTATTTTTTTTTTTCTGGTCAGTTCACCTTCTGTGGAGGGGCATGACTTTAACTGATCAAATTAGTAAAAAGCTCCCTATAGACTTCCTCAGATTGGAGCGTGAGGGCACTTTTGTGAGGAGCGTTATATAATACTTCCAGGGCTTTTATCTGGGTTGCAGAAGCAGGTGGAGAAGTCACTGTAGTGTGATAATTGACTGCTTAGATCTAGGTGGTATGTATCATCACTCTGGATATTACAAGCTCAAATGTAAGATTAGAGCGGCTCGATTTATTTTTAGTGAACCTCCTTCTCCTGGAAGAATACAGCCATCCTGTGCCCTTGTTGAAGCCAAATATTTCTTTGTGCTTGTAGCAGTGCAAAGCAAGCAGCAGTTTTGCTGAAAGGAATGAGGAAACTGGTAAGAACAACTAATTTTCCCCCCCCTGCAGCAGCACCGTCGTGTATTGTAACTTCCTGCCTCAGTTGATGGTTCTGCTGTTTTGCAAGACAGCGATTCATTAATTTCACTTCATCTCTGTGAAAGCTGATCTCCTCCTGCTAGGTTTATAAGATTAAAAAAAAGAAGAATAGTGTGTGAAGCAATTAATCTATTCCCCTTGCCCTGCTCCCCTCTGCCTCTGAATTCTCTCTGACAAAACGACCATTTCACGCAGTTGTGCCATCTCATCTTTCTGACAGCCCACTGTGAGGCCTGTATGAACAGAGCTGGAAGACCGTCAGGTGAGGCTGCTGGCAAACAGCATCCTTCTGTGAGATACGGTAGACAGGCAGAAGACCTACAGTCCCTCCCTCGCAGCTCACGTTAACTGCAGAAGCCTTGATGGCCTTTCTGGGGTGTGGAGCAGCAGGTCTGGCTTCATGGATTGGAATTAAACTACCAAACGTAGATGTCTCCATCTAAATTCTCTTTATAGTCATTGGAGAGGAAATAGGTGTCTGTTTAGTTAGAGATGAATCATACCCTAAAAGAAGCTATCTCGGCTATGAAGAAGCCTTGGAGTGACTTAGACAGAGGTGTTTACATTTCAAATACTGTAAAGCGAGATGAACTCTGTGTCTCCCCTGGGACTGGCCCTCAAACACGGTTATCATATTTAGGGGCTGGTGGTGGTGGTGGCATTAGAAAGCAAAGGAGCAGTCTGGTGCAGTGCCCGTGAATTCCAGCATCATGTGAGGCCTTTTCCCTTGAGCTGCTGGCCGCTGCCCAGAAACCACCAGCTCATGCTCAAATTTATCACTTCTTAAGGGGATGTGGCTGTTTGTCGCAGTTCTTAGTGAGATGACGAGTCGCTGCTCTCTCCTGCATGAGGTTGGGGCTTCGATACAGACAACTCGGAGGCATCCCGCACGCCGGTAGATTTTACTGCATGAGTAATAAAGCAGCGCTACGGTGCTGTTTTTGCTATTGCAAGTCACAACTTGTGGTGGTTTCCTTCTATATAGCTCTTCATACATCTGGTAGAAGAGTCTTAAAAAAAAACTTCATCTGACCGAATACTAGAATTTGTACTCTGTAATTCATACATTATAATTCATACATTATAATTTGTGTTTCAAAGCTTATAAGCAGGCTTTGTGCGTAGCAGTTTGAAGCAAGTTTGCATGAATCAAAATGTATTTTCTCTGAAAGGACGCGAACAGTACTGTGTTTCAATAGCTTTCCAGATCAAACCTGCTCAGTTTGTAAGTAAAAGAATTGTTAGGAGGAAAGGTAAACTTCAGGCTTGTCAGATGTTCAGGTAGGCTTTTATTCACTGAGAAATAGCCTGGTTTCTTCTAGTTTTTGTACATTGTTCAATAACAAGGATAGTCCCTGGCAAATTTTTGCCTCGTCTGTACTTCTACAATCTAAATGTTGCACAGTTCAGTCCTCCTTTTGCACTTGCAATATTAATGAAGGTACAGAATAAATTGATGTGATGCTATTAAAAGAATCATGTCTGTTTACAGTGGCAGAAAAGTATATCCTTTCAATTTCTTTTCTTAAAATTCAGGGGTTTGATCAAAGAGAGTGCATAATCAACTAAAGTAGCTGTTTTATCACGCTGTCTGAAATTTGAGTTTAAATTCAAAGGAGAATTTAATAGAGATTAAATAATCTGAAATAATCTAAAGATTCAGGGAATGAGCTAAGCCACAGTTCAATTTTGAGAGAACAGAATATAGATAAGTTTAGGGAATTACAAGGTGCGCCATGTAATACTGTTGCTACTGCTGTCTTCTGAAAATGTGTAAAAGGCTTAAGATCCTTGACATTTTAAGCACTAAGTTTATCTTTGTTTGTTTGAAAGCAGGGTAGAGGGGAAAAAAGAATTTTCCATGATAACTCTGAACATTCCAGGAAAAAAGATATCATTTATACGTTTAAAAAAAAAAAAAGTTGGACAAAATCAGTTGCAGATCATAGAATCATAGGATGGTTTAGGTTGGAAGGGACCTTGAAGATCATCGAGTTCCACCCCCCTGCCATAGACAGGGACACCTCCCACTAGACCAGGTGGCCCAAGGCCACGTCCAGCCTGGCCTTGAACACCTCCAGGGATGGGACCCCAACAACATCTCTGGGCAACCTGTTCCAGCGCCTTACCACCCTTAAAGTGAAAAACTTCTTCCTAATGTTTAATCTAAACCTGCCCTCTTCCACTTTAAAGCCATTCCCCTTCGTCTTGTCACTACATGCCCTTGTAAAAAGTCCTTCCCCAGCTCTCCTGTAGGCCCCCTTTAGGTACTGGAAGGCCGCAATAAGATCTCCCTGGAGCCTTCTCTTCTCCAGGCTGAACAGCCCCAACTCTTTCAGCTCCTCCTCACAGGAGAGGTGCTCCAGCCCTCGGATCATCCTCATGGCCCTCCTCTGGACCCGCTCCAACAGGTAACAGAGGAGAATGATACCTGCAATGGCTGACAGCTCAGATTTTGCCTGCTGAAAGGCAGTAGGGTTGGTTTGTACTGGGCCAGTGTAGCAAGGATAGGGTGGCCCAACACACAGGAGAAAAAAACAGTTTTGTATTTCTTTTGCAGACTGGAAAACAGAGCTGCTAACTATACTACGTGGGTGGCACCAAGTACTTTGTTCAGTGATTTTAAAATAAATAGTGAAAACTCAAAGACACAATATTCTCAGGTTAAATAAAATACTTTGTTTCCCTTTTGGGCACCTCAAAAAGACCTGGAAGAAAGTTCTAAAGGAAAAGATACTGATGATGCAGAAGAGATGGACGTGCTTGATTTTATAATTTCCCCTCCAAACTAACAATTTGGCAAGCTGTAGCAAATTATCCAATGGTTTATAGTTAAAATTTCTTACTTGCTGTATAAAGTCACATACACATTGGTAAGCTAATGGTGGTTTTCACGAACTGTCCTTATTCTGAGAAGTGTCTATGGCCTCTGCAACCTCTATCCTTTCATGCAGGTTGCAGCACCAGGCAGTTCAGTACCTGATTTGCTTCTGCCTGTGACCTTTTTATTGTCCTGATATCTTTCCTCTCTTGAGGAAGGTGAGGGAAATATGACATGATGTTTGTAAAGTCCAGGCACCAGGAATTGCTGCAGGGGGCATTGAAATAGACTGAAAATTTCATAACAAGAAACAATCTAATAATAAATGTGAGGAGAAAAACTGTCATGACTTTAGTCTTCATAAAATTTTATCGTATTGCAGAAAGCTTGGCTGGGAAGTAGATCAGATTATCTCTCTGTTCTGCTCTGTGTTGTCCACTCTTGTTCATATTTCTTTTTCATTGCATTTAGGCCTATTCTTCAAGCTTAGGTAACTGGGGGATTTTCAGAAATGAACCTGTGCAGAACAATGTATTCTTGATTTAGATGTTGTCTTTGGCAAAGGTCTTAATTTTAGTTAGAGCTTAAACTAGTACTGCTTTCCCAAAAAAACAATTTGGTATGCTTTTGTGAATATCAAGAGCATTTGCATTGGCTGTTCTCTTATTCTTTTGGTGCTTGCCCATGATGTTCTTAGGAGGGCAAGTTTAAGATCATATTCTTGAATAGTTGTGCTGAGGGTAGTTTTAAATTTCCTCTCAGGTGGGGTGGAGTCTGCTGTAGAGAAGAGTGGTACCAAAATATGTGACAAGGCTGAAGCCAGTTTTGGTTTTGATGTGAAGGAGAAAGACCGCATGGCTCTGTGTTGGGTGACTTGGACTTCATTCAGCACATCCCTTAGCATCTGGTGGTAGCAGAAAGGAGACAGCCTCTTCCCTCCATCTCCCTAGTAAATTCATAGCAGTTACTTGTGCTCTACCCACAGCTTTGGTACAGGGGCAGTTATGTGTTTGAGGCAAGAGTTTGATGTGTGTGATATCTGCCCTGAAAAGAGAAGAACATTATGTTCCACTTTTGGTTTCCTTATACTTGCAGTCTTCTACCCTGCCTAAGGTGCAGGCTAGCATACCTCGAACCCCTTGAATAGTAAGGTACTTTAAACACCGTGAAAACCTCAAAGCCTCAGTGACTTCTTCAAGCTAACCCCCAGTTACAAGTATTATATTTAGCTCTGTGGAAAGAAAAATTCAATGTGCATGACCAAATCCAACTAACGATGTTTTCACAGAATATTCAGAACCCAAATGCCAACGGCAGCTACAAGCTTATGCGACCACGCTGATTGTAATTGAGTTAGTGATTTTACTGCTATGGAATGGCTTCTGTAGCCTTCTGTAGAGCCATAAAATTCTCAGGCCGCCAGTTTGGAGCAAAAAATGGCCACAAGTATAGCCTTTATGTGGCTATATAAGGACTGTCTTATAGCTGTAAGCATTAGCCACAGCCTACTGTTGGAGGTTGGATATGGGTCTAGATTTTTTGTATGTTCTTGGATGATGCTAGTCATTGGATGGATGAATTCAGGCTGTTTCTAGGTTTGAATTTGCTCAGATTAATTCTTGATCCCCTGCATTTCTGTTCATCAGTGATCTGCAAGTCAACATTAAAATATTGTTGATAAGTTTTTCAGATGAGAAAAGGAGGGCAGCAACTGATCCAAGGGACAAACCCAGGAGACAGAGCAGCCTGGGTTTCCTGTTAAGCTTCCTATTTTTCAATGGACCCATACGTGAAATCTCACACTTAGCAAACCAAAGTGCAGGTTGCAGTTACAGGTGGATGTCCCCGTCCTGGGAAGCATTGGCAGCAAAAAGAGTGCTGAATAGTTCATCAACTAAATGTGCTTTGGCCTTGGATGTGGGATGCATGGGTAATAACAGAGAGGTCATTTTGTCCCTGTAGTTGGAGGGTAGGGAAAATAATTTAAAAAATCAGCCAAAACCTGAAGTGCCAAAAATTCAAACTCTGAACTGGGTGTAAATTTGTTGAAGACAAGATTTTAACCATTAAGCAACAATTGTGGTTTCTCGCCTGCCACCAAAACTTCTTGCAAGTATTTCTGATAGGGATGCTAACCCAGCGTTCCTTACGTATACATGTGGTGGGAAATAGGTGTTGATTTAGTTGAGAAGCCATGAGGCTTCTCCTCCTGCCTCTACTGGGGATACGTAGATGGAAGCAATGAAGCAATTGCACTGAAATGGATATGTGTAAATCTTTTAATAAACCCAAGTGACCACCCGTATTCTGGATTTCAGCAGTGCCATAAGTCCCAGGTTGTGAGCAAAGGCCTGATGGTTTTGGCTTCACACCAGCTGAAACTCCAAAGACAGATTCATTTTTTTCCTCTGGGTATTCAGATTCATTTGATCCCAAAGCAGAACATGGGAAATTGAGGCAAACGTGAATGGCGATGTAAAGAAAAGGAGGTTTGTGTCAGACCAAATGTTGCAGTCTTGTGCTGTCAGCTCCTGGCTCTATTTTGTAGTCACTGGACGTAGCATGATACCAGCTAAATCCAGGCAGCTGAGCAGTGTGACTAAAGCAATTGGTTTGACCAATTATTTTTATCTCAAACTTGAACCTCAGTCATTATTTTAATGCTGCCATTAAAGCCAAACTGTAATGAAATGGTAATAATAAGTTCCATGTTGCCATTTTTGAGCAATGGTTGAGTCAATGCCCTTGTTCAGCGTGGGGACTGCTGGCACTTGCAGAGCAGCATGACGCTGTAGCCCCTCCTGTCCTCTTCCCCTCCCATGTGTACAGCATCATTCTTCACAGGGCACTGCTCTGCAGACCTGGATGGGGTCCTGTTGAGTGCAAGGTTTAGCAGGTGTGTGTGTGGGGGATTTGCTATAAAACTGTTATCCCCTTGGGGCAGAAAAAGGGGTGTTGGTAGTGTTAGCAGTGTCAGGGCACCAGTAGGTTTTGATAGCCCTGACCAGCCTCACCTGGGACTCTTAACATGAGAAGGACATGGACCTGCTGGAGCGTGTCCAGAGGAGAGCCACGAGGATGAAGAGAGGGCTGGAGCACCTCTCCTATGAGAAGAGGCTGAGAGAGTTGGGGCTGTTCAGCCTGGAGAAGAGAAGGCTCCGGGGAGATCTTATTGCGGCCTTCCAGTACCTAAAGGGGGCCTACAGGAGAGCTGGGGAAGGACCTTTTACAAGGGCATGTAGTGATAGGATGAGGGGGAATGGCTTTAAAGTGAAAGAGGGCAGGTTTAGATTAAACCTTAGGAAGAAGTTTTTCACTTTAAGGGTGGTAAGGCAGTGGAACAGGTTGCCCAGAGATGTTGTTGGGGTGCCATCCCTGGAGGTGTTCAAGGCCAGTGGTCTTGGGCCCCCTGGTCTAGTGGGAGGTGTCCCTGTCTATGGCAGGGGGTTGGAACTCGATGATCTTCAAGGTCCCTTCCAACCTAAACCATTCTATGATTCCTACCCCCGCACCCTGTATGCCTTGCCATGCCTCACACCTTCTGCCCATCACTCCATTTAAGATCAGGCTTAAGCCTTCAGTCCTCCTTCCTGAAGTTGCCCTTCTGTTGCTGCTGCCTGACAAGTGGTTCCCCATCAACCTGATCTGTTCCTCACTGATGTACGACATCCCCCCTTGCATGAGTCTAAAAGGAAAAAATTGAGAGGAAGAACTTTGCTCCCCCTCCCTTGCACGGTGCTTAACGTGCTTCATGTAGCGCAGCATCACAAGGCAGGCATGGCAAAGAGAGCTGGAGAAGTGGTGGTGTGGTGGGGAGGCAGGACCTGATCCACCTGTGGAGAAGAGATAGCTGAAGGGCTGTAACCTCCTGGCTGACATCCCGTGTTGTGGAATTGCCCATTTCTGCTTGCAGATGTTATATTTGCTGGTTTTATGCCATTTGGGATGCTTGATCTAGCTACTGAGTCATTACTGGCTGGGACTCAAGTCAAACCAGGGCAAGATTAAGCATAAACTGGCTGCAAACTGAAATCAAACTGCAAAGTCCATCAACTTAAGATGAAGAATAAGTGGCTGGGGATTTTTATGTGAGCTCTTTCGCTGACTTTGTGTATGAATTTAGGTTTAGACTGCAAGGAGGTCAGGCTTCCTCTCTGCTTTTATGTGGAGGAGGGTGCACCTGTATTAGCCCTTTGGTCAGAAGTGGGCTTCTGAGGCAAATCTGATTGTCCCCAGTTACTGCACTCCAGTAACACACCCAATGTACTCTTTGTGGAATCAGGCCAGAGTTAGTCTGCAGTAAATCCCATGCAAATAAGGTATTGTGGATGTAGAATCCTTGGCACCATCTATTGCACTCTCCTTTCAGTGTGTGATGTCTGCTGGTATAACCTCAGCAAAGTATACCGTGGGGATGCAGCCAACATCTCAAAACTGCTGCTCAGCTGCCGCCTTGTGCACAGGTTGCTGCCTGAATTGATGTGCAGAGACACTTCAGTGCTAACGGTGCCTTGTAGTTAATGACCTGCTTGGTGCCCAATTCTGGCTGAAATCTGAGAGGCCTGAAGTGAGATTCTCAAAGTAACTTCTCTCCTGCTTCTCTCACAAGTAGGGATTTGTTCCTTAAGTGCTCTCCGATCTGAGGGCCCTTCGTGCCTTTCAATACAGACGTTCAAGTTACTTAGTTCCTCTCATACACAGGTCTCCTCTGAATTTGAGATAATTTGAGTCAAAGGTATATTATTTATGTCCTGCGAGCGAAGGAAAGCTTGCAGTGAATTGAAATCCTTGGCTAAAAGCTGCTGCCGTTTTGCAAATTCTATCATAACACTTGCTCTGTACGTTTTAATTGAGCTCAGCAAATCAGTTCAGACTCCCTCTGATCCTGCAAAGTACCCTGCTTTAGGTTCGGCTTCGAATCCGTTCTGCTTTTTAATGCACTTTTTCTTATGGAGCTTTTCTCACTTCGTAATTTTTGGAGTTTGGATCAGAAAGAGAGATTGAATAATGTGAGACTGTTAATAAGTATTCTTTTCTGACAGAAAGCACATGTGAGTGCACAAGATTTTTGTGCTAATACATATAGATGCATACTTGAACTACTGACCTGCCTATCTGTGGGCCTTCCAGAAGGCACCTACTGCTTTTCATAATAGGCTTATTAACAAAGGGTTCTATGGGAAGCAGGAGAATGCATTTTTGGGGAGGGGAGAGAGTTGGTATGTTTATCTAATCTAATAGATGGGAGGGGGAGGGGGGAATCGTACAAAGAGCTGTTCCTTAGCTAATCAGTTTACCCTGGCTAAGGAAAGATTCATTAATATAAAACGTTCCCTGGATACTTTTCCACTGAGTTATCTGTTATTTTTGTGCTTCTTGCTTAGACCAGACTTCCAGAGAAGGTATGAGTTGCAGCATTTCGCGTGGAAATTTTAATTCTGTTACACAGTTGTATAACGAACAACTATATGTAGAGTTGAAGCTCCAGTTGATCTTAGATTACCTTATGCTTTCTTGAAAAAAATGCTGTGGGGATAGCAAATACAAAGAAAAGGAGGGGAAAGATAGGCAAACATTATTTTCTTTCCACTTGACAGAGAGAGAAATAATTTTCCAAAGGCTGCACACTGGAGTTTATGGAAAGTCAGAAAAATCTCCACTCTTAAATCTTTTATTTGGAACAATATTCCATGCCTGTCTTAAACTGTTTTGCAAAGGTTATTTGGCAAGAGATTTCAAATTTCGTCTTGTTTGATATTCACAGTTCTGTGGTGAAGGCTTTATTTGGGCATCAGCAGGAGGACGATGTCAAGCCTTTCTGCGGTGGGTATAGGTAGACCCATTGGTGTTTCTAGGAATGGAAATTGCCTCTCTGGCTAACGCATTGCTCTGCTCTGCTCAGAGGAAGACAAACCAGCTCTGCAATGGGCAGTCTAAGGGAAAACACTTCCAGAATCACAGAACTGCCACAGTGGGAAGGGACCTCGAACAATCATCTGGTCTAACCTTTTGTGGGAAATGGAGCCTAGGTGAGATTATCTAGCACCTTGTCCAACTGCATCTTGAAAACGTCCAGCGATGGGGACTCTACCATGTCCCCATGGAAGTTGATCCAGGGAATGATTTTTCTCACTGTAAAAAATTTCTTTCTTATATCAAGATGAAACCTCTTCCAGTGCAACTTGTACCCAGTGCCCCTTGCCCTCTCCATGTGGCTCCTTGTGAAGAAAAAGCCTCCGTCCTCTTTGTGACTGCCCTTCAAGTACTGGAAAACTGTGATGAAACCCCTCTTAAGTCTTGTCTTCTCCAGGGAGAAAAGACCGAACTTCTTAAATCCTTCCTCATAGGGCAGGTTTTCCAGCCCCTTGATCATCACGACCCTCCTTTGGACTCTCTCCAGTCTGTGTCTTTCATGAATTGTGGGGTCTAGAACTGGACACAATTTTGTCCTAGACTTCATTAATTTTGGGGTTTACTTATGCACCCAAGCACAGTGATTTACATCTTTTCTGAAATAGTTATTGATACAAATGGAGGAGTTCAGGTGTATATGGAGAAAACACACGGAAACAAGTTAGTGGTCGGAGCACTTCAGTCTGAGTGGCAGCACGCTCTGGGGTGGTGAGCCCCGTACCCTCACAATGTAAGATCTGGGTGTATGGTGGAGCCTCATGCCCTGCAGTGCAGTGCTGTGGGGTCAAATGGACAAAATATTGAAATTTTGAGCCATGAAGCACTCTGTCACAAGCTTCTGATTGAGTCTTCGTAAAAATCACTCACCTCTTTGGCTGCCTGTGGGGACGGAGGGGCTGCTCAGCCTATGACAGGGCACTTTTCGTAGAAGCTGACTCTTGACTTCCAACAAAATGTGATATCCAGTTACCTTGTGTAATTTTGTGCCTTTTAAAAGTTTAATCTGCTTGCCTGTCATGTGCAAAGGCTACTCTCAGGTACCTGTTTTAGTACAGGAGCGGACCTCCTGCCCTCAATCCATCGTCCCGCTGTTTGCATACTGGCTGTCCCTTGAGAGCCTTCCTCCACGGGAGGAAGTGTCCCCAGGGGCCTGGGCCATCAGTGGGGGCAATGCTGCCCTGGAGCTGAACCAGAGCAAATCACTGAACTTCCCCAGCGGGGGAAAGCTAATGAATAACACTGACACCCCTAGGTTTTCTCTTTGCCATACAACATTTTCGAGCTGTTTCTTCTTCTGCTAAGATTACAACAAATCCACTGTATGGGTTTCATCAAATTTTCAGTTGAAATATGTATGGAAAATAGCATTCACACGGTTGCAGAAAGCTATTAACTTATGGCAAAATCAATTTTTTGATAGGGGAAAACATCGATTTTTTTAAAATATCTCAATTTTTAGAGAACAAAAGTATCTGTAAAACTTGGGAAGATGCTAAAAAAAAATTTAAATATTTCTGTGAATGACTTAGTGGTTTTGGATAAAATCTCCTCTTTCACAGGGGAGTACAGCTATATCAAACATTTAAGTAGTCACTAATAGCTGATGTTTTTCTGCCTGCCACTTGCAACTTTTATGCAGCCACTAGAAATGGTGTCAGTCTCTTTAGGATTCCCTTTAAAATAAATAAGAAATATTTATAATAAAATCAATATATTAATATACTGTAATGACATAATTCTGCAATGTATATTTTACATACATCTATTATATATAAAAACTAATATGAGCATCACCCTTCCTATAAAGAGCTACTCCCACGTGGGCTTCAGAAAGATAGGATATTCCTGGCCTGCAGATGTCTCGAGCTTTTCATCATTCTGAATTTTAGGATATTAATTGCCGAATTTGCTGTGATACAGAATTTTTTGCTCAATGCAACCTTCAACCACCTCACCAGCTCTCAAATTTCTACTGAAGCTGAGTGATAACTATTTTGGGGAAATGAATGTGTAAGAGGATATGCAGTTTCGGCGAGGAAACAAGAAGTACAATATCCACTTTATATATATCTCTCTCTCTCATACTGGGATGACTCAAGCCGGACTTCAGTTAGAAGGCAGGCTCTAATACTGCTGTGAATGTAGCACAAGGATATTTAGTAACTGGATAGAGATGCCGGGTTTTTTCCATACTAAAATTATATAACTGTGGGGCTTTAGGAGGCCTGCTCTTCATGAATAAGGTTTGGTACTGAATTTTCATATGCCTCATTTAATTTTCAAAGGGGCCTCTCTGCTTTCTGTATGTGTTGGAGACCAGTTCTTTATTTGTTAAAATTGGTTGTAAAGGATGAACTTTCTCTTGCTGAATCTTGGTTTTACTTCTGTTTCTCAAAAGTGAATGGAGGTTTAAAGTTTTTGCTGTCTGTTTCTAAGATTTTCTGGAATAAAATCAGGATTTCTGGCCCTTCTGTAAAGAAAAAAAAGAGTCACCCATGGTTCATCTCCTGGCTGGGAAGATGAATGGCTTGCTTTGGAGCATCTGAGAGTGGCAGGATCTCAGGTGTGAGGGGTGGTCTTTAGAGAAGGTGTGCCAAGGCTCTTAATTAATATGACTCTTTCTCTTTTGATTGGCCTCACTAGGAAACTGCTGGAAGAATGCTGTGACCCCGGGCAGCTCTTTGCTATGACAAAGCTGAACTCCCCGATGGGAAAGAACCTCTGGTTTGACGGGGAATTTTTATATTCTTTCACTATTGACAATGCAACTTACTCTCTCTTCCCACAGGTTAGTAACCTTTTTTTTTTTTCTTTTTGCTTTAAGTGTTAATATACTAAATGGTAACATGGTACATATGAGTATAAATTGGCTAAATGCTTGTCAGGAAATTGTATCTTCATTTCTCAGTACAAAACAGTCTCCTCTGCTTTTTTACTTTTGTGTTCTGAAAATTGTAAAATGTTTGTATGCATGTTAATATTCCTGGCTGCTTTTCAGGTGTACGGATGTACACAAGGGGTGAGATTGGACCACCTGTCTTGATTTTTAAAATAAGTTCTTCCTATTTTAAGAAGGTGATTTCCGCATTTCAGTCAGTGATCACACTCACTAGGGGCATGTTCCCTCATCTAGGGTTGCTTCAGTTCAGATCTGTTTAGCTGAGATGCGACTGCGCTTTGTGTGAAGGTGTCCAAGTTACTTCCAAGTTAATGAAGTTCATTGGTAACCAATGTGAGCCCAATAACAGAAGCCAACAGCTTGACTTTGTCGATTCTTGCTGTGTTTTGAATATTAGAAGTGGTTTGTTGTTGCTCAGCAAAGGTGTTTTGGGTTAAGTGCGTGGTTTTAGAGCACTGAGAATTCGTAATACTGATCTAGGCTCCTTGTGTTTTTAATTAATATATGAACTGATGTTAAATAATGAGTTTATTCTGTTGAATTTTGTATGTGAAAGTAGAGATGTTTTATGTGGCTACACATTTAAAGAAGGCCAAACATCTGGTCATATTAATTGATTTACACATTACTTGAATTTCTCAAATTAAAGACATAGGTATTTATTAACCCTCTGAGTCATTCACACTGGGCTTTTTATTTCTTGCTGTTTCAGTTAAACACGTAGCAGAGTTCTTACTTGTTAGACTATTTTTTTTTTTATTTTAAGTAGCTTCCAAATCTCAACAACAGACTTACGACTTTGAATGAGTTTCTTTTGGTGGAGAAAGAGTGAGGGGAACTGAAGCGTTGGGGAGAGGAGATGGGAACAGCCACTTTCTGTGTTAAGACATCATCCAGCAGAGCGGTGTTACAGCTCTTGTCTTGTTCAGGCTGTCAGTCCGCTGTCTGTGCCTGTTGCGGGCTGTGCCTGTTGCACTGAACCGGTTAATGGACCTCTGCCTCCTCAGGCTGCTGCCCAGCTCCTGTGTCCTTGCAAGCTCAGCAAACAAGGAGATGCCAAAACCTGTGTGGTGGGTGGTTTTTTCCTGCAGTATGGCTGGGAAGGGGCTGCCCAGCTGGAGTGAATTTCTCTCCCTGCCTTTGAGACTGGTAGAAAGTTTATAGTGTGTTGCAGGGTAGCAGCTGTAAATCTTTTTTTTATGGTGATTAATATGATTTGTTGCTACAATATTGCACCGTTTATTGGAGAAAACTGAAATCCTTGGCAGAGCTATGAACTTTGTACCTCACAAAGATATTGGCAGCAGCTGCTCAAAATACGTACATCCTTTCCAACGTTTCAGAAAAGCCCCACCTGGGCTGGCACAGGGAGGTCATTATTTTGTGATGGATTTGGGATTTCAGATTTGGTTTTCTGTGGATTAAAACCTGGCACTCTGCTGTGTGTCCCATCTCCTCTCACAGAAGAGAGCAAAGTACTGGATGGGCTCCTTCAGAGAGGTAAATGCTGGTTGAAGAGGAGCCATGGTCTTGGGAACTCTGGCAGTTCCCAGGATCTCAAGTACTGTCCCCAGAGTTTATCAGTTGGCTGGATGGGAAGCAAGGATCTGGGAAGTCCTGGAGAGACAAAGTGCTGGGGGACAACATGAGCTAAGGAGTTGGGACTTCGTTGTCCCTGGGTCCCTTAGGCTTGCCAAAGAGGCTGCCTAGAAGTCGTTGTAGGGGTGGTGGTGGAAGAGGTGGGGTTTTTTTTATGATGTTCCAACTCCAGAATAGTGCTAGAAAGCAGCTCTAGGACTGGTGCCAGAAATGTTATTCCTTTAATGAATTGATGGGCAGTTCACTTCTGACGAGTGGGACTCACTGCTACTCCCTCTTCTCTTGCAAGTACCGCTGCCTTTAACTTGATGTGTTATTCCTATGTATTTTGCCCAGAGGAGTTTTGTAAACCTTCATCAGATGAAATCCTGCTAGGCGTAAAGGCTTAGGAAGATTTATTTGCAGTAAATTCTTAAACAAAGTATTTTTCTACCTCTCTTTGTTTCAAGAAAAAGACTTGGCTGAACTTTTCAGGCTTCTGCTTTGAAGAATGGTGTCTATTAGCGTGCTAGCAACCGGCAAGCAATTTTTGTGAAGATGAATATTCCTTTCAAAAGTATCTAGAAGCTTAAAACCGCTCATAAAATATGGGTAATACTCTGAAATGCTCAGAGGATGTAACAGGAATGTAAAGGGCCACAGCTATGTTGATATAATAAAAACAATATTTCCTCTGGCATAAATAAAAAAGGCTCCATCCACATCAATCTGCTGGGCTTAAGCCAATTTGTGCTTGCAGAATATTTCTCAGTCCTGAACCAGTTATTAACTTACAGGATAAAGGAACTCAAAACTAAATAGGAAACTTGCTCTATTTTATGGCATAGAATAAGCTGGCTATGCATCAATGGAGACTTATACAGAAATAATTAAGTATGTCAGAACTTAATATTTAAAATGTCACTTATTTTTGAATGTGAACAATACAAAATAGAATATTTTTTCTTCTGAGTAATCTGTAGATAAAGTTCTTGCAGCTGGTTCAACATTTTCTGGTGGAGTGCTTTTCCAATAAAAACGCTATTTCACCAAAATATAAATTTAGTATCAGTTCATTGGTTTTTCAATTTTTCTTTGAAATGAAAAGGTTAAAAGGTTTTGGTGGTGTTATGACATTTCATTTTATCATTTTTTGAATATAATATTTCAACCTTTTTTTTATCAGCTCTGTTGCTAGCTTTTTTTTTTCTCAGACTTTGCTTCATTGTATTCCTCCTCCTCCTTTTATTTATTTATTTTTTAAGTTTTTGATTGACCAAGGGAGAAATTTGCAAAAGAAAAAAGCAAAAGCTTTTATGTGGAAATAATCATTCAGTGTTTCATTTCATTTTTTGAGAACAAAATTTGAAGTTGCAGACTTTTGCATGAACTAAGAATTCCAGCAGCTGGAAGTGCCTCCTCTTACTCTCCCCCTCTCTCAGTTCCATTTTCCCCCTGATTTCTAGAATTAATTTTTTTTTTGAAACAGAAATGAAAGATTACACAGACTGCACCATCTTTCCCATCCTGGAGAAAAACTGCTAGTGGCTCATTGTCAATACCTGACAGTGAGGAGAAGATGTGGGGCAGGAGGTAGCTCATCACAGAAGATGGCCTAGCGTGCAGTGAGGGTGGGCATCCCACCTACGTCTCATCTCCCAGCACGTACTACGGTGGCATTGCCTGGAGCTGTTGGATAATGGAGTGTCATTTCAATTAAAATCAGACATTTCTTGACAGCAGCTTTGTTGTGTTACTTGCTGTGATCTACAGCATTATTTCCCACTCTTAGGAGACAAAAAGCGTAGAGTCTGCATATATCTGTGGGTGTAGTTTAATATTAACAATGAGAGGTTATTCCTACTGTGTACCTACCACTTCCCTGAAGCTTTTCACGTAGACTTGAAGTTTCAATATTAGCCAGTAATTTTGGTACATATATGGAGGTACTGAGAGATGGAGGAGACCCTACTGGAGTCGAGATGAGTGGCATGGTTGGATAAACCTCTGAACAGCTGAGCTGCCACATCTCAGGTTGGCCACTAAAGGCCATGGGTAACTTGTAAATTTATTTCCTCTCCATTGGGGTCCAACTATTATACAGAAAATGGAACCTTGTGTTGGTGAGTGTTCAGGAGTTGTGTTCCTGACAGGAGGCTTCTCTCTCCTCCTTGCTTTTCAGCCTGGAAGTTTTCCCATGCAACTCTGGCCCTGTTGCATTGTATTGAGGCATGATAGAAGGCATGACGAGCACTTTCCACCCTTTACTGTCTGACTAATACGGAAGCCTGGTTTCTTCCATATATTCCTGCAGTAATTTTTAGATGCTATGAGTAAATGTGATGTAACCACAGGAGCAGCTGGGATGTAACTCAAAACCATGTGAGAGACACATGAACTAACACTCATCTGCTTATTAGTTAGAGGATAAGACAAGCCCAAGTTTCAAATGTTTTCTGAAATAATTTTGCACTCCTTCCTGTCGTCTTCTTTCTCAGAGTTTCAAAAGCAAATTTCAGACCGTCTTTACCATTAGAAGAAAAAAAAACCCTCACCCCAGTATTTAGCTGTTTTTGCAAATAATTGATTTTTGTTGCTTGCTGGTGAAAGCTTAGAGCAAGGAAGAGCTGAGGTGAATTTCTGAGGTCTCCTTTACCCTTCCCCCAAAAGGTTAAAGAAATAGTTAAATGGAAATTTTCACTCTGCCATGTAAAGTATTATTTTAGAGGGTAGAGCAGAAAGAAATTTCATATGTTAAGCTTCAACTTTTTAATTTGACAAAATAACTCATTTAAAATTTGTCTGGTTTTATTGTATTTCACCAGAAGCGGTTAGACTCATTTGGTACCAGTAAATTACTTCGAATTACTAAAATATGATTCCCCAGCTGCTCAAATCCCTTCTAAAGTTTCACTTGCAAAATGCTGTCAGAGGAATGGCTACTTGCAGTGTGCTTCTCAAGAACAGTCATCACAAATGCTGTTTGAGAAATCCAAAGGAAATAGCTTTAAGCCACAAATAAATCTGGGAAAGATGGCACCTGTTTCTGAATACCTTGTGATCAGGAGAAAGGCAATATTTTTCAAATTATTAATTAGAGTTTAAATTCTTGTACCTAATATAAAGGCAGAGAACAAGTTAATCTCTCTACCTGTAAGTGTAAGATGGAGACATTCTCTGACATTTTCTGGGTCATTGGGGTGAGTGTTGTGTTGGGTAACAGTGAATAATTTTACGATAGTGCTATGTGATTTGTGATTTTTATTCAGGGTACCTGTTAGATTCTGGGAGCTTGTTTAATTTTTCTTGGT